ACTGTGCGCTGCCCTCATCAGCCATTTGTTCTTTTTCCCACGCTGCTGAATGCCAGTGCAGCCGAAGACACACACACACAGGGCTTATCAGAACAATGCCTCAAATAGCTGCGGAGGCTCATCACAAGGGCATGTCACCAAAGAGCATGCAGGAGAGGATGTGTGTGCGTGTGTGTGTGCGTGCGTGTGTGTGTGTGTGTGTGTGTGTGAGTGACAGGACAAAGTCATAAACGTGTCACAGTATGCAGCTGTTACCTGCGGGCTCTGCTGTACTTGTCAGCGGCCCGTCACAGGCAGCTCATCCATACTGCTCCCCATTGTTACATTGCCTATGTTTAGTTCACTGTCTGACAACAGAGGCTTCAAATGTGTATAAACACAACGCAAATAAACATAATGTGTGCACACATACGCAGTGCAAAACCATTTTTCTGCACTAATCTAAAGAAATAATCAGACAACATAAGTCACCTGCTTTTGAAATTAAATGTACAGTATATTTAAAATGTCTCTCTTTTTATACATGTTTTATACTTTTATAGTTATGATATTGTAATTATCATTAACATTTCAGCCTTGTGAGGTTTTGCCGAACTTTGTGTCCAGACTATTCCGGTAAACTGAGGTCATTAACCTCTGTGTGTAGTTAGTGTAACTGCTGGGTGTGGCAGTTTGTAGCCCACACCTTTAATGACTCTTTATTGCTCTGGTCTGTACAGGGCACTCTTTCATCACACATGATTAATCTTCACAAGATTAAATTTGAAGGTTAAAGCTTCTATAATCTGTCGTTAGTTTAATAATGAATCAAAGGGATCAATAATCTACAGATGATTGGCCAGACCCTTGTTCCTCTCAGCTCTAAAAATGATTTAAGCTTCTTTCAGCTCCTCCTTTTGCCTCTCTGTCTGTTTACTCCTCTAATTTTATTTCAACTTTACTGTTGAGTTGATCTGTCAAGAACCAAAAAAAAGTTAGTCATCTTTAGCAACTAGTAGGTGAACTTTAAGCGGCTAAAGAGAAGAGCGTAACTACTAGGTACATGTTTTTGTAAATGTTGCTGTTCATCTGCAGAATGGTGCACCATAAAAACTCAAAAGGTGATTTTATGTCAATAGTATTTAATGCAGCAAAGTGAACAAAAATATGTTGTGCTTGGGAAAATAAAAATGATATGAAAAATAATTTCAGTCGTCCAATTAATACTAATTAGATCCTAATGAGATACAGCCAGTTCAAATGTATTGTTACTGGTTCTGGGTGGCACCCACACCTTTTCATTTTGTTTCAGTCAGAGTTCTGTTATGCAATCACCTCATTTTTGTTTTAATCAATTAATCTATTAATCTTGAGCACAATCTTGTTTTCTTAATGTTCAACCAAAACAAATGGATCCAGCAGGACTCAATGAGCAGACCTCTGTATCTAAGTTTAGTGTGCTGTGTCTCACAGTAAACATTCAGCAGCTTCATGCCCTGACACGTCCAAACTCTGTTCCGGTCTTTCCACCTGCTGTTTGTCACACACATGTTGCCCTCGGCTGCGAACTCCATCACCCTCAAATAAACAAGGTGGGAAAAAAAACCACATTATGTATGTTGTTTTAACCTTGTTCTCAGCAGCAAATATCTTATCTGTTCAGTTTCTAACCAAAACCTTCCTGTTGTGCGGATCATTCACTTCCTCCCTCTCCTACATGTGAGTCTCTGGAGGTTTTGTTTTGTCTGCGTGGACACAGAGAACCACAGGGTGCTGATTTGGTGCAGAGTGTGACTCCCTCTGGGAATAGTTGTACATTTCCCACAAGCCGGGAAATCAGAGAAACACCTAAGTTCAACCACTAAAATCACTTAGTCACTTATCACTGTGACTAAAATCACAGATTGGATATAGTGTATCCCATATTATGGGAGTCAAAAGGCTTGGTTTTGGTGTGCTGACTGAATATGGATCATTTAGCTTTGGACTGTGTTTTTGTCGTTTTCTCATCGTCTTTGCGTAGAAACACAGAAAAACAACACAAATATTACATATCCATTATTTCCCCCCCTTTTCTTTTGTGACCTAAATTTGAATCCTTAAATATGGATTGACAAAGCATATTCACACACACACACACGCACACGCACACGCACACACGCACGCACACACACACACACACACACACACACACACACACACACACACACACACACACACACACACACACACACACACACAAACATGCATGCACACGCACACACTCACACACGCTTGCAAACACACACACTGTCTTACCTGGCCCTCCTTTTGCAAACTCTGTCAAAGTAAAGTGCCCCACCACCTGCTGAGTCATTGCCTGGGCATGTCTTCATGGCTATACTCCTACAAATAAAATGCCATATAGGAACACATATACACACAGACACACACAGACACAGACACAGACACAGACACGCACACGCACCCACCCACACACACACACACACACGCACGCACGCACGCACGCACGCACACACACACAGACACACACACACACACACACACACAGACACACACACACACACACACACACACACACACAGACACACACACACACACACAGACACACACAGACACACACACACACACACACAGACACACACACACACAGACATAGGGAAGAGAAGTAACCTCTTCACTCAACTCTGTGCACAAATGTGGATTCCTTTTCTCTATTATCAGAGGATTAAATCAGCCACAACATCCCCCTTCAGTGTCAGTACTTGTGCAGGGGATGCTAGGCAGACTGTTTAAAGTGAGTCACCATGGTAACGCCCTTTGTGCTGTCAACTGTCTATACCATCCAAGTAGTGTTGAAGTGAGAAGACTTCTCGGAGATTCTCTCGTACTTAAAGAAAAAGACAAAGTAGTTTGACCCAAATAAGATCACTCAGTGTTTTCACAATCACTGGAGAAAGTTTAGTGAAATTGTGTATGAGTGTATGTGCGTATGGTGTGTTAGTGTGTGCCTGGCTGTGTGTGACATTTGACTTCCTGAGGGAACTGAAGGAGAAGTTTCCAAAACGTCTGTGAGAGGAGACTGATAGTGAGGCAGACAGGAGAGGCCTGAGAGGGCGCTTGTTGCACGTTTGCCACAAGATACACTGGTTGCATTTGAACTCAACAGTAAGGGGTCAGGGGTCAAGCTTGTGTGGGCGATGGTGGGGAAGAGTTGATGACATCTGCCTTCTTACCGCCTCCTTTTTGCTGATTCGCAGAGGGGTAGGCTTTGGGGATAACAAAGAAACTGGTTTTAATACAACACCAAGTTACTTTTTACACTTGAATGAATCCACAAAACCTGACTTTGTAAAGAAGTTTTGATACTTTGTGATTCCATAAGGCAGAAGCTCAGAGAAGCTCAGTGAAACACACCTAAACACTTCTTCTGTTCCTTTAGATCCTTTAGATGAGAAGGTCAGAACGCTTACTGCCGTAAGAGAAGCAGATGTGACCTATATGCCAGTGGACACACCTATTCAAATATATCAAAGGGCAGTGAAGCTTTCATTTTCTGTCATGACACATAATGATGGGGAAAAATCATGTGGGTGTGAAATTTGCTTTTTCTTTATTGGAAAAGACAGGTATTTATTAGAATGAAAAATTATGTTTTTATGTCATTAAATTCATACATACTGTATTTTAGTAAATCTGGCTTGACATCTTTTGTTGAACTGAATAAAATGACAACACTCAAAACATAAAATTACTTTTTTTTATCAAAACATGTTTGGCAAACTTTCTGGATTTTTTATTGGAGGAAAACATATTTAAATTTGCTTTTGAACATGACACATTTAAATGATTCTTTCTTTTAATGGAAACACTTACTCTTAATGCATAATGGGTTAGGGTTAAGGTCATAATAATGATATATCATTATTTGAAACTTGCCAAACCACTTAAAAGATTGGTACCATATTTTGGTATTTTTTTCTTACTTTATTTATTAGGATCCCCATTAGCACCAGCATACGCATCAGTTATTCTTCCTGGGGTCCAACACACACCCAGTACACACTTATACACAGAACAATATAACAAACAAACAAAGACAAACAGCAAGACCAGCTGAGTTTAAATTCATACAGCCCATGGAAAAAAATAAAATAAATAGTCATCCATCAGACATTCCAGGTCTTTAGTCCCAAATTCTATTATAAAAAATCCACTTTTAATTTTATAATTAAGTTAACTTTGGTTAATTGACATTTCAAAGGCGGTAGGGTGACCCACATATAATGTTGAACAACCTTAAAAGTATCTACATGAAAACTGTCTGCTTCCTTCAATTTGTTTCCAGCTCTTTAGCTGCTGATGAACTCTGTGACTCCCTGCGCTCCCTCAACTTTGAAAACTATTTTACTTAGCTGACACCACTCAGTCTGATGATCCTGCTCACTGAGTGGTAACTGAGCTTGAGGATTGTTTGGGTCCTTTACATCCACAGACAGAAATAGTCGAGTCTGTGTAATATAATGCTGACATAGAACAGGTTTTGTCTAATGTGTTACCTTTTTCTTTACAAGAACCAATTGAGTAATATGGCAGTCACTAAGTAGTTATAAAGGGGATGATTAACCTGCTGTAATTGAAAAGTCTTGGTCTCAAACTGCATCAGCGAATCCAGGGATCCCTCTTTATAAATGTTGGATTAAAAGGTTTACTTGGCCAGACAGACTTTTACGCGCGTGTTCGCCCTCAGCCCACATAATCAAACATAATATCCTGATTCATCAACTGGAAAATGGGCAAATATTTGGTCTAATCTCCTCAGCAGGATGTGGATTAGTAATTAACATGCTTGCAGTGTAATTAAGGTCCACGTTAGGACTTCCCCCGCCCTGTTTCCCTCTTGCGCGCAGACTTCCGCCCACTCCGCCCTGAATTACTCCACTCGCAACTGTTGATGCATTCCCCGATCATCTGACGTCAAGTGGGCAGGGCCCAGGCCAGGGCGGACTATAAAAGTCTTCTGGTGCCTAGTTTCATTCACAACGATTCTCAACGTCACTCTGGATTACGGAAAGCTTTGACAGAGAAGCTCCTTCCTCGGGCTCCTTGGACAGGAAAGCAGGGACTTTTACACACAGCCCGCGTGAACAATGAAAATGTCAGCGGAGGAGATCAGCCAGGTCCTCAAGGAGGGAGAGCTGGAGAAGAGGAGCGACAACCTGCTCCAATTCTGGAAGAGGAAGACGTGCGTCCTGACCACGGACAGCCTCAACATCTACGCCGACACGCAGAAGCGCTCCAAGGGAAAGGAGCTGAAGCTGCAGTCCATCAAGAAAGTGGACTGCGTGGAGCGCACCGGCAAGTTCGTCTATTTCACCATCGTGACCACAGACAATAAGGAGATCGATTTCCGGTGCTCCGGGGAGGAGAACTGTTGGAACGCGGTGATCACCATGGCGCTGATCGATTACCAGAACAGAAAGGCTATCGAGGACTTTAAAACCCGACAAGATAACGAGAGCGCGTCACCCGGACAGCAGGAGAGACGCATGGCGAGGGCGCCCTGAGCGCACGAGGACTTCGGCACTTACCCACTCCTAATATGGTGAGAGACGCACCGTGACTTGAACGGACGTGAAACATGAATTAAATTAATCAGAGTAAAGTAAGAAAAATATTGACACTAATTATATATTTTCTTCTGATCTCCTTTTAGTGTCAATATGGACCATACAGAAATAGTTCGCGGACCAAAAGGAAGACGAGGTCATCCGGTCCAAAGATGAAGGATTGTTCCGGACTGGGCTCTCGCCGAGGGGAGAGACAGCTGATCTAAACTCGAGAGACACTCAGACAGAGATCCCAACAAACAGGACTGAACCCTTGAATTGTCAAAACTATTTCAAGTTTACTCTCCTGGGAGGAATGACTCCTAAAACCATGATGTTAATTTATTTGTTTCCAGGATATGTGTTACTGGCAAACAGCTTGTATAGTTTAAATTATTTACTTTTTCAATGTGTGATGACTGATGAGTGTTTATTTATTTGAATAAATATTCATGCTTTTTGACATAACTTTTTGCTCTCCACTACCTTTTTTAATTTTATTTTCAAAGCGTTTCTACTTGGTGTTGAAGTCAGTCAGTGATTATTACATCATTATAGTCATTGCCGATATATTAAACACTATAGGGCACATTCTACTAGCAACATTTCTTAGTCAATTCCAGACACACAAGAATGAAAAGGGAGTGGAGGACAGGAAAGTCCCCTTCCTCTGCTGTCAGGTGGAATTTGAGTCTTTATTGTAACTGGGAGGGTTTCAGGCCTGAGTCACCACTGATAAGGAGGACAGATTTAGTCATCATCACGGGACACTTGAAAGACTCAGGATGCCTTTGAACACACCTAAACTTTGAACACACCTAAGCTGCTCCTGATGTGCCGGTCAGGGTAGTCTGTTGCTTTTTTGGCCTACATGCTTTTGTGACAGTTTAAAAGTGACATTTTCATTTGAAATATTTGAAGTGTTTCCAGCTGAGCGTCAGAAAAACTTGGTTATAGTTTGATTTTATAGATTTCTAAGAGGTGTTCGGATGACAAAGCCTCCTTATCAGGCGCCTCTGTTCTTTATGAGGCCGAGCCAACGCACAGGAAGTGCACTTTATAGCCCTGTTATCATTAAATAAAAGCTGTTTCACAGGGCGTAATGTGTCACTGGGTACACACCTATATAATGACTCTCATAACCCAGTGAGCAAAGCCTTGATCATATTCAGAACACCTTGTAAAAAGAGATGAAATGATAAAGTATGTAAAGTTATTTTTAGTTAGCTGTGACATGAGACCGATGTTAATTAGACATTAAATAAGTCCTAAACGTATGAGATAGACTTCAATTGTTCAATGCTGTATTCTTTACTGTAGTAGATACAAAGAATGATCTCAAAATTGGTTATTTTTAAGGATACAAAACTTAATTATTCAAACAAAACCATAAGAGTTATAAAGAGCTCCACAGGTGCAAATTCATTACAATACCATAACATGTAAAAATGTATGGTATCGGTCAAACAAAGAGAAATAAATTATGATAAAACTGACATCATTAAACCTTTTAAGAATCCAAATAATGTTTTGAGAACTAAAACTGTCGAAATTAACCATCAAGGTGAAGAAAGAAAAACAGTCCTGACAAACTGTGTTGACATTTAATAAAACCTCCGAGCTCTCCTGCACATAAATACCTCCGGTTGTGGATCTTACAGAGTGGAAGTGTGTTATGAGCACAAATGCCCAGAGGTCAGAGGTCACAGAAAGCTGAATCTGGGGCCCTGCAGTAATGAAGTGTAGTGGACTCACACCCCTCCCCTCACCGTCCCGTGCCAGTGTGCAGCTTTGAAGTGGGATCACACTACAATGAACGCATCAAAGGATGATCCGAGGAGCATTACCACAGCCTCTGTACTAAAAATACTGCTTCACAAATTGGCACCACTATAATCTCACACACACATATCCACACACCTTCGGCCACACAGGTTTTTGTGATACCAGTGTGGGCTTTTTTTATTCTAAGCAGCTTGAAGCCTTGAAGTGCAAAATTAATTTTACAAGCAGTGTTTTCAGAGGCTGATTAAAGATGTCACAATGTGTACATCTGGCCTCAATAAGTGAGGTTGACTTCCTCACTCACCACCAATCGCACGCACACACACACACACTCACACACACACACACACTCACACACACACACACACACACACATGCACACATACACACAGTCTTATAAACATCCTGTGACGCAGCACACAATCAGGCCATACTTGAAGCGTTGGCATCATCACTCCATAGGCCTTCATTATGTGGACGGAGCCCGGCCTAGCAACACTGGACACATTGTTACATTCTGGAGGAGAAGATAAAAATGTACCAGCGAGGATAGCGAGGATGTGAGAAATGTGTGTACATGATAATGACCAGAACGCACAACTTAAACTAATCTTCAGTTTTTAAACATGGCAGGACAGGACGTCGGATTCAGAGGCGTTTTTATAGTAAATATGAGAGCTGAAGTACAACCAATGTGTGTGTGTGTGTGTGTGTGTGTGTGTGTGTGTGTGTGTGTGTGTGTGTGTGTGTGTGTGTGTGTGTGTGTGTGTGTGTGTGTGTGCAGTAACAGCTGAGCAGGGTGCTGTGAGGTGAAGGCCAAAGGAAACATGTCTGCCTCTGTTTCATCATCATCTGGAGGTAACACGCAGCACAAACCCACATCACATCCTTAACAGCCATAACTCTAACATATGTCAACACATCTGTCTGGGTTGGTTTAGGTCAATTCATCTTTTTACCGTCATCTTCATAAAGACGTTTGAGAAAAGATCATTGCTGAGAAGGAAACAACAGAACAACAGAGTGAACATTTGTAGATGTGTCAGAAAATGTGAATGATAGTTGATGCTATTTGTGAAGAAAATAACATGCTTGTAAATGTCAGGGATAAAATAAGAAGTTGACATGATTTTCATTCAGATTTGAATCATTCATGTTGTTCACCTTCAGGCCTATTGCTACATTTAAAGGTGCACTATGTAGATTAGGGAGTGAAATTTGAAAGTTGGAGAAGTGAAACAATTCTATGCTATATTTTCTGAACTAATTACACAAAGGGAAAAAGGGGTCTCTGAACATTGTTTGGAGCTAAAAAGCTACCTGGAGAGTTACGGTTTCACTGTTGCGAGCCCACCACCACAACTTCTCGCGTATTATTTTATCTTCAAACAATGTTCCAGGGACCAAATGTTCCTCTGAGGACAGTTTGAGTAAATTTCTCAAACTTTCACATTTCTCTACTAAACCTCCATAGTGCACCTTTAAGGACACTGGGGTCATGTCTTCAGTAAGATGGGTTATGATGTTGGGCTATTTGGGTGTACTTTATATAAACAGTCTCACCATCTTTAATTAGTGACACAACATGACAAAGCAGTGACATTAAGACAAACAGTAATGAAAGACAAAATTCTGAAAACATAACAGTGAAGCAGTTAACAGAATACATAGAGTGGAAAGTTTAAGGTAATGAGTGGTGTCATAAGATACGTTCGGAAGTAGAGATACATAAGAAAGAAAAAAAAGAATAAAGTCAAAGAAGGGTGAGAGAATGGGGAGAACCTGAGTTATTGTAAACAAAAATAAATATATTGTTGATGATGTTTCTAATAGTTTGGAAGCTTGTGTTGTGGGCACTTGGGTCATGTCTTCAGTATGGTCCATGAAAATAGAAGCATTATGGGCAAGTTTACATGAACATTCAGAACTGAATTATACATATTTGGTTCTCAAGGTTAACATTTTTAAGACATTGGAATACATTTGATTGTTTGTTGGCATAAAATTCAAATATAATAAAATGAATGGATTGTTTTTTTCTGCTAGATTTATATTCTGGTAATGTGGAAAAAGTGTACAAAGTGTACTTTCCTTTAAATGATCAGATTATAAGAATTGAATCAGCGAGTTAATCAAACGAGTTCAATGAGTTACATTGTAAATATTTGATGTTATCATTTTTGAAAAACCCTAGCAACAGCAGCATATCTTCATATCTTTTTGCTTGCTGAGTCCTCAAGTGGTTCTGTCAAGGACAAAAGTTCATCCCAGATCTTTGGAAATAACATGTCCAAATATTCTAAACTTAAGTTCAATATCTTACTTTTCAAAGCTTTCAAAGGCATTTCAACAACCTTCTGTCTTTTTATCATTAGATCACGTTGACACAATGACATAATGGAATCATCTTTTTCTACATTTAAAAATTATCTTTATCTTGTAGACTCAATCAAGTCTTACAAGGCTTGTCTTGGCATTTCAGAGAAAGAGCACTCAAAGGTTTCAAGAACAGCTTGATGACATGTTCAAGTCTCTTCACTTAACATCACCGTCCTAAATGAGGGAATCACTGCTTCCAGTAAACTGCTGTAATCACGGACCCCTTTGTTTCTTTTTAACCTGCTGTGTTATTTCCTCACGCCTTCTTCCCGTCAGAGTCCAATCTGACGACAGCAGGACACAACACGAGTGCTTCGTGTAAATAAAAGCCTCATACAGTCCAAACAGGCAGAGGATATTAGGCAAGGCCTTGGGGGAATTGTGTGATTACGAAAAACCTCAATCATCTGTGTCACAGGTCCCTCTGAGGAGCTTCAAACGCTGCAGCCGTCACCGGCGTACCTGCTCTTTGTTTCTGATGCCTTATGCATGGGATTATCTCAGAGGAGAGCTATTTTCACGGTCTTGTTTTACTGGTCACCTCTCCAGGTATTTCACCTGGTGACGTATTGTTCAGGTGAGTGCATACCTGAGCTCATGCCTAAGCAGATATGAACACAGACACACACCCTCACGCCGGGCTGAGGCGATATTAAGACATTTTATAGAGTTTAAATGTGGCTGCAAAAGACAAGATAATAATCTGAGCTCTCATGGTTCCCTTGTGTTTGCCACTTATCATTCCCCCATCCAAATAGAAGGTCATCTGATTCCCAGGATCCAGATCTGTTCTTGCGGATAAATTGGTGAAATACCCCCCCCCGCTTCCTCATGGTATCCACAAAGGGCGTCATTCTCCTGATCGTCTGTAGCCATAACAACAGTGTTTGTGTTTTATTGAACATCCATTTCTGCCTGCTGAGTCATAAGGAAAGAACTCCCCAGATCCACACTTTCAGCTCTTTCTGCCCAGACTGCGATAGTCTCAAACCTGTTCCTCAGATAATGCCCAAGGACAGGGGACGACACCGAAGGAAAGTAACAACAAGTGGATTTATATGGGATAACACTTAGACTTTATAACACCTTTCATCAGGAATGATTTCATTTACTGACATTTATTTTTCAGAGATTTTGGCGCAGAGAGATCAGAATGTTTCCTTGTTGTTCTGTGTTTCAGCTTTCCATGTCATACGCGCTTCCGCCTTTACTCAAATGCAACAACAAAGCTAACATATGTCTCTGTAAGGTGATATTTCCACAAATATATTTGTGCTCCTGTTTTTTTTGTTCAATGAGAATCC